TGCTAAAATGAACCATTTTGACAGTCCTTAAAAACAGAGATAGTACGTTCTTCTTGGAAAGAACACCAAACAAAGGTTACTGTCTAATGACTGTCGAATTCTCTTCTTTTTCTGGAAAGATTTTGTAAAGGATGCTCTGAAAGGTGCAGAGTGTGCTGCCACAGAGACCACACATATAAAAATGACAGGTCAGACATGAAGGGTGAATTCATTATGAGAGTCCCAGAGGGATTCATCTGTCCTGCAGCTGAAAGGAGGAACAAAACAGACTGAGGAGAAAGAAAACATAGACAAGAAGTGGACAGGGCAACAATTATTTGTTGATGTTGTTGAAAATGTTTAAAGCACGTATTAGAACTAGAAATGCAGACACATACATGTGAGTTTTCAAGAATGTAACTGCGACGACTACCACTGGGGACACCAGGATATTTGCGTATGGCTAAGATGGGAACCTGCATATAGAGAAAAAAAGTAAAGAAACTGTCATGCAGACTGAATTCCAGACTGGGGGCCATACCTCCAGGAAAATGTGGAAGAATATAAAAGTTAAGCAGCTCTATAGGCTGGGCTTCGCTCTCTTCAGAGTGGTTCCCTGCATCTCCTTCTGAAAACTTCTAAGTCTTTAACACACACAGACACACAGACAAACACACACAGAGAGCGACACACACAGACACACACACAGAGACACACACACAGAGACACACAGACACAGACACACACAGACACACAGACACACAGACACACACAGACACAGACACAGACACAGACACACACACGCACTAAACTCTTTGTCATTTGCATTCATCTGCAGGCTACCTAAAGGTTCCCCTCAGTAAAGTACACAGAGTGTTAAGGACAAATTCAGCTGGGTAGATGGGTCTCTGTGACCCTATTTAATCAGCACAGGTGAGATCCCAGTAAAAGTGCTCAGGTCTACCTCTGTGGGGTAAACCGGTTTAAGATGACTGGTATAGCACAAAATCATTTAATGTGATGTTCTGCTATGTAAAGCTAATTTTGGAAAGAAAAATCTCTTTAAGAAATGCATTTGGCTTTGCAATTTGTGGGTTTTGTTTTGTTTTGTTTTGTTTTGTTTTTTGCTTTTGGATGAACTCTTTTTAAACACTGACTCGCAAGAATTCTTTTCCTCTGAGTCTCCAGGGAGTCTTGTGGATCTGTGCTGCAGGACACTGAAACCACCCTCTCTGCTCATTCTCCTCCTCCCTCTTTCTCCTAGACCTCCTTTCCACCTTTTTCTCTTTTTGACTGTGAAGAACAGGAGATCTCCATTACCCTGCTTCACTGCTCTGTAAAAAGAATTTTAAAACTCCTAATATTACTTAATCACAGCTTTCAGTGCCCCTGCTGCCATAAAACATTATAACAATGGGCTGGCACTTCATCAATTGTAATTTGCTGATATTACAGTCACAGTAGCACTCAACATAATTGCCTTGCTCTGCCACTGACTCATAAGGCTTGCTGGTCTTGGTTAATACATCTCTGCACTGGAGGATGCAGTCAGAAATTCTGGTCTAACAGCTCAGCTTTTTGAATTTCCAGTTCCTGCCGATATGAGCAGGATGCATCCCTTCAAATACTTGGCACAACATTGCTCCCAAATTTCATTCCTAGACACTTAAACCTATTAGGATACACTTATTCTTCATAGTTCTCAATTTTACACATAGTAGCACAACACTTACAACTTCCAAACAGAGATACAATAATAGCAGTTCTCATGGATAAAGGAGCTAGCCTGAAGACAGCAAAATGAAAAATTTTAGTTAGAACTTTGAGTTCCTTGCAGTTCCAAAACTCCTCCCAGCAACAATACAAATTCAAACCATACAGATTATTAATAAGATGTTTATTTCAGGATAGAAGGCACCTTGAGAATAAATTTGATTATGTTGTGCTTTTCTGTAGACAAATTAAAACATAAATTATCAATCCAAATGACTTGTACTGGAGATAAGGACAGCAACAAAATAATAAAAAAAAAATAGTGCAAACTCTTCCTGACAGAACATATTGTGTATGACTCATTCTGTAAAAGTCACCATTGTGAGCTGCAGATACTTATTTCTTATACAATTGTAGCTTCTCTGAGGTTGGGACAGAGATGATGCTACAAAGGCAGGAAAAAGCCTTTCTGCAGAGAGCAATCAGACACAGCAGACATGCAAGCACCCTTGCTGGTCAGTTGTAGGGAATAAAGCATAAAATCCATGCCATGTTACACTTACATGACTATATGGACAATCACACACAATGCTGAGATACAGACTTTCTCACACACTGTGGGGAGCAGATAAACTCTGATGTCTTTGGCTAGTTTTTTTGTGCCACTGCTTTGTGACAACAAAGTCTGTCTCTACAAGTTGTCCTCCGAGGCTTCCCTTACAGAAGTGGACCACCCTCAAACTCAGTAAACACAGGGTGGAAAGGAGATGAAGAAGCCTAAGGAGACGCTGCAGGCTTTTACATGGGCCAGCTAACAAGCCCAAGTGCTGGGAGGCCAGTGAGTTCCTGATGAGGAATTTGCTGATCTCCCAGTGGGGCTATGGTATACCTCTCCTTCCCACCCCACAGCCGCTTATGCCTGCAAACGCTTTGCAACAGAGCACTTGCAAAAGCTTTTCTTGCAAGCGTCTATGGGAGGGGTATGGCAGACCATTGCCAGGATGAAGTTCCGCTAAAGGGGGGAATGCCCTGTTTGTACCTCTGGCATGCTCAGCTCTAAGATCCTTAGATCCTGTAAGATCCTTCTCCTCAAAGATCCAGCTTGTTTTCCAACACTCTGACTGCTGTAGCAAGGGTAAGAGAGCTCTTGCTTGGGCCGTGGGAGCAGCTGGGGACATTAGAACCTGTCCATAGAGATAGGCTCCAGCCTGGAATTTGCTCCATCCAGAGTGCAGGGCTTTGGATGCCGTGTGAAATCCCATGCACTCCGGCCGACCCGCTCACACAAGTGGAAGGCTACTGTGAGAGTTAAGCTTTGCTTATTCTGCACATTTTGCCAAGATTTTGAAAACCACTTAATGGACTTGGACAGGCTCAAGGAGTGTTTTTAGATTCAAGTACTGCTTGTTTAATGGATTTATTTTATAAACACTGGCATTGAAATCTTCAAAATTTCTTTGGGATTTGGCCTGCTGATTCCTCTTAATTTTTAATGCAAAGTAACATCTGAAGCGGCCAATAGCAACATAATTGTATAACGCAAATAGTTGCATAAGCTCATCTCATATTCAGAACAAGGCCTCCATTCACCAGGATGTGGATGAAATAGGTGGCTGGAGGATCATTTCCCTTTGGTTTTACAAACCATGGTGCAAATATTATGCTCATGTCCCTGAAGTATCTCCTTTGAAAAGACCTTTCATGCCTCCAGATTTCAAATTTATACAGATAACATATATATATGTGTCTGTATATACACAAATACATGCCTAAGTGTATGTAGCTGTATTTATTTTATATATGTGTGTGTCTGTGTATGAATGTATATGCACACATACATTCCTGTGCAGGTTCCTCTTCCCTGGTGCTGGCTACCTGGCTGTGTGCACCTCTTTAGAAACTTCCAGCATTGCTGTTTTGCTGTTCTGACTCTGCACATCACTACCTTCTGCTCCTCCATGGCCACCCAGGATGTGCTAGAGCTTGAAGCACTTCGGTGAGACATTATTGCATGTGTGCCCAACTGGCTCTTCCTCTGAGGCTTCAAGCCCTCCTATCTGTGAGAGCAGTAATTAAGGAGAACAGATACATAGTGGTGGGAGAGGGATCAGGATACTGTACGGTGTGTAGCCAGTGTAAGCACTTATAGTCTACAGGTGAAACTAGAGTTGAGGGAAGGTGGTGGGGTGCAACAGTGACTGGCCGTGCAGAGGGCCCCCATTCGCTTTCTGCAGCAAAGTTCAGGACACTAACATTGCATGCCTGCACGACCAGAAAGAGGAATGAGAAAGAATGAAATCTGGGAGAAACCCAGCTTTCTCATTTATGCACAACAAAATGAAAATGTCTTACGCATTCAGAATGGAAGAAAACTAGTCATTAACTTATGTGAGGCAGCTGGTTTCCCAATAACGGCTCCTACACATTCTGGTTTTAATATTATTGTTCTTGTCAACTGTGGGAACGCAATGTATATTAATGATGGTTTATTCCAAATTGGTCATTGTCGGAGTTAATAATTAGGTACTCAGGCACTAATTATCTCTATTTTGTCTCAAATCATTAACTAAGAAATCTGGAAAAGTAATTTTGGAGGCGGGCATCAGAGCCACACACATTAGGGCGGGCTCCACTGTGGGTACAAGAGACGCTTCACTGCGGAGAGCGGCACCAGCCTACGCCTGGGAGGAGAGCCAGGGTGATATTGTTCCAAGTACCGGGTGCAGAGTGGCAGCACCTCAAAAAAATATAGATACGTCTGGTGCCCATCCATTCTTTGCACCCCTGGTTCACCCATGAAGGATGAAAGGGTATTACCTGGCACCTGGACAACAGAGCTGCTCCAGCTGGGCCACCATGGGCCACCACTGCTGGCTGCAGCTCTTCTCCCGAGTGGCATCCAGCTGTACAGGCACCCGCAGGAGGACACAGAGCAGTGGAAAAACATGTCTGCTCAGAGGACATGAGGTTCCAGCATTTACTTTGAAATAAGACTCCCATGGAAATAACCCCAGGAAAGTGCTCAGGACAAGGATGGGTCTGGTGCACAGGGAATGAGGGACCTTGGGCACACACATGGAGCTGCCCAAGCTCCTTCTAGGGCATGGCTGAGCCAGCACCAATGCTCCCAACTTGCTAGCAGCACCCACTTCTCCTCAGGCATGTACAAGACATCCCCAAAAAATCCCTTTTCAGTTACTCTGGTATAATTTTTTCTTCTTATTTAAGAGTTTTCAAGGTTATTCTGTCCGTGTGGGCACAAAAATCCCACGAGACATCACGACCACCACCATCTGTTATGAACTTACCTCTACATAGAGGATAGGGAAAATGCCAATCTTGTCACCCAGCATTCCTTCTGCCCAGTTGTCATCTACCCTCCTGATGACCGTCAGAATTTCATCCTAAAATCAGAGATATACAAAATACATATTCAGATTCTTTCACTACAAAGACGCCACACTTCTAGTTAGTCACATTACAGCTTAGTGAGACTACAGAGAGGAGGTCATAAGCCACGTAAAAATGTTCCCTGAATCCTGGGTCCAGCAGCCTCTTTGGCGCAGCATCCCGTCGCAGGCATCCCATCCAAAGTGCACTGAAGCACTCTGCAGATGAGTGCAGCTCATGCCAGCAGCTCCACGGGCCTGGACACAATGGTTGGGAATAGGAAAATCCTGGCTTCACCACAGGGGCAGGGAGAATGTTTGACCCCGGAGGCTGCATCCAGAGGAAAGGTCTGAGAGAAGCTGTAAAATGACATCATGGCATTCAGTTTTCCTCCATTCCTGTGCAGAAATTTATAAAAAAAGGAAGAAAACATCTTCCTCCAGAAAGCTGAAATAGAATTCCCTGCTATTAGCACTCTATTTTCACCAGTCGCTCTAGGAAAACAAGAGCTACATATGGTCTATCATTCTCCATGTAACAAGCTATCCATGTTAACAGGTCAAGTGAGAGGAGCTCTTTTTTTCGCAGATACTTCTCACGTCGAAAAAACCCCAACAAACCAACAAATTCCTGATCTAGGATATTCAGACCATGGATTTACATTGATAGAAAATGACCAGAACAGAGATGTGACATGATGTACTTTGGAGTTTTTGAACATGTGCCTTTTGAACATGTGCACTTTGAAATAGTTTAAACATTTTCTTTGAATTATTCATCTAAATGATCCATTTGGGGAAAGCTCAGAGAAACAGCTACAGACTGAGTCCTTCAGCTATTTATTACAGTTGGAAGGATGCAAAAAGAAATTGTGCATTTAATTTCCTGAAGAAACAGATAGCATTCCCTTCCAAAGCCCTGTCTGCACAGACCACTTTTGATCTGTGTAAAGAGCTGACAGTAATAAGTGTCTGCAAAGTTTCCACATGCTCTTACAAAAGACCGATTACCATAAATTTTGAATCTAGGTAAAGGGGGTAAATGAGGAAAATAAGAGACCGCATCACTTCAAGAACCTGCTATAAGTGTTCCCACTTTCTATATTTGTTCAGCTATTTTCTTAAAAAGCTTTTTAAAAACCCAAAATGCAATGGGTCTACAGTTTCACTGAATGTTGATCTATTTATATATAATCTTATGGGTGTATGTGCACACTTATGCATATGTATGCTTATATATATATTTGCATATATATACACACATAAGGTAAGAAATTAAGAAAAAGGTTTTAAATTGTAAAATCCCAGAAGCACTCAACTAGATTTTGTTAGAGGTACTGTGCAAACTCATCCCTGGAGCAGGTTGGACAGATACCTCGCCAGAAAGATTTATCCTGCCTTGATCCCACTTAAGGACGGGGTAGGGAAAAAGTGGCCTTTGAAGGTCACTTCTGACTTTACTTTCTACAGACCTATGAAACCTGGAAGCCTTTCCATACACTGATCTTAGTTTGGCTGTGCCAGGTCTGGCAGCTGAATGCAGGCATACAGACCTCAGAAAGTCAGGTAGCTGCACATCCCAAGACATGCTGACATTCAAAACACTGTGGGAGAGCAAGGCACAAATTCTTGAGAATGCTTTCCATTATAAGATTCATTTTCAGAAGGGTGTTGAAAATCTCCAGGAATTACAGCAAATCCCAAAATGTCTTTTGTAATTCTTCATTAATAGAAAATTTCTTTGAATTCATAGTCCACAACATCATTCTATACACTGGGCTGACGAAAGCTTTAACGTGGACTATTTTAGTATCTTAAATCAGGTGGATATCCATGCTACTTACAAATTCTTAGAAAGGTTCCCGAAAGGATCATGAATACTAAAGAGCCATGGATCTCTTGGCATACCACTTCAGCTTTCTGAACTTCACTATTTGACATGTACTAAATTGATTTCCAGGCAGCATAAAGGAATCCAAGCCTCAAATCTCATTTCAAAAGCCAATGGTATCCACTGTAGTTTGAAAAAGATACCTCGTGCTCTTTTTATGCCTGTTGCTAAAGTCTTTAATTATTTGCTCTCTCCTACTTGCTCAAGTCTCTCTCTATTCATCAAGACCAGGCGGCCTTGCCACAGGCACATGGGACCTGCAGTTCCAGTTTATAGCCATTATCAGAAAGGAAGTCCAAGATAGATCACTTAAAAAGCAATCTGATCGACAGAGAAATGAAGTCTTTTGGTGAGAAAACAGCACAAAATTGTGTCCAATAACAGTAATGATTCACAGCCTGATTTTTATTCTAGTCATTAACAGCCATTAACGAAGCAATACAAAGCAGATGTGCCTGCTATTCTGCAGAGATAACAACTCCATCTAGAGCGCTGGGGAGATCTCAGCAATGGCAGGATGGCACCGTGTGGTGCTTGGTGAGCCCAGCGACAACCCTTGCCAGCTGGCACGAGAATCCCAATTGTCAGCTACTGCCGGGACTGTCCCTCTGAGAGCAGCAAATGCTGCTGGAATTGAGCACTAAGGGGCTGGGATGATGTTCTGCAGCCAGGAATCAGTATTGGATGTGACGACTCCTAGATCAGCACAACATTTGCTAAACATCGGTATGGGCTGAGAACGAAAGTGTTGGAAAATGAAGGAAATAGCTGATGTGATTACAAATGTGATGAACGATAAAGCATGGGAAACAGTTGGCACTACTTTGACAGGTCTGAGACTCATCTACCACTGAGCCTGCAAAGGGCCACATGAACTCATGCGTGCAAAGGGTAGCCAACGCCAAAATGAAACTGTGGGCTGAATTTGGACTCAGTCTAAGCCTTGAGTAACTACACAAGCAAACAGTTATGCAGTTACTCCAGATTTGCACGACTATAGCTGAGAGCAGAGTGCTCTTGCGCAGGGCTTGTACCAGAGAGTGAGTAGCCCAAGGAAGGATGGGTTATTTCTCAAAAACAGAGACAGCAGGAGCCTAGGCTCATACTGGGGTATCAGAAAAGGAGATATTAGAAAGCTAAGTTAAATAAGTATCTCCCAAGGGCATACAATGAGACTCTGCAAGCCACACGTTGTTTGCAACCACACCAGTGAACATTTCTGAAGCTGCTGGAGCTAAACTGGTGCAAAGCTGAATCAAGGCTGGAACCCCTCCTTACAGAGACCAAAGTAAACCCTGATTTGGCTGATCACTGCTAAACACTGAGAAAAAACATATCAAGTCACAGATCTGGAATGTTTCGTCTTCTTGTAGCCACTGCAGAGGAGGGAACAGTGGTGGGACCCTACACCTGTACATACGGCTACTTTGGGAAGAGGAGTTAGGGGGAGCAGACTATGTGGTGTAAGAGAATGACAGGTTGGAGCTTTGTTCATTGCACTGGGTACTCAAGACAGAGGTTCCTCTGTTCCTCCCATTTTTATACGTATACCTACAAAATTATTATATTTATCTTTTTTCTTTTATCTGGAGAGTGTTGTGTCTACAGGAGATTAAAATGGACAAATGGCAAAAGTCCTCTGCACCACTGCTCATGAAGATCAATGTAAAAGAGACTTCATCTCCTTGCAGTCCACCTCTGGAACAACACAACATTTTGATTTTGAAGAAAAAACAACCCAAACCACCAAAACCTAGTAAGAAGAAACCCCAACTATCCTTCTTTTGTTTTATTTTACTGCCCTGACACATATTTTGACTGCATCATAACAAAGTGGTAGTCCAGCAAAAGAGAAACAAAACATAACGATCCCTATGTTTGAGTTCCCTTCTTGCAGTTTCCTGTCAGCAGAAAACTCTTCTTTATTGTATACTTGTAAATAAAATCCAACTAAAAGTGTCTGATAGCAGGGCACATTGTAGGTTGCACTAGTTTGTATAAATGCTATGCTAATGCAGCTCCTCTACCTGGGGAAAGAACAAATAGCATAAGTGCAACTGAGATCAGATCCAGAATCTTCAGATGCAAATTGAGACATTCAAATGATGAATATTGCTCTGGGTGACAAACCACATCTACAACAATGAAGTTCTCATGACTCTGTGCAGAGGAACTGACTACCTCAGCAGATGATCTAAAATCTGGGCTAAACAGGAACCTTCACCAGCGCAGGTGACAGCTAAAATTAGCATTAAGAAAACTGCCGAAAACATGACAGTAAAGCCCCAAGTTGAAAAATAGATTATTCACTGTCAGGGAGAACAATAGGCAAGACACAAAAACAGTTACAGCGTGACAGTGCATGTAGTGGGGGGAGCTAAAGAAGAAAATAGCAGCCAAAGAGAAACCAAACGCCTTTGGGGAAAACACAGACATCAGATGAAAGGATGCAGACAGTAACACAAGGGGTGAAAAAAAGGAAAATTGAGGGATTGAGAGTAGAGCTATACAGCAGAAAGAAATGCACCATGTGAGCCAAGAAAATGAGAACTATCAGTATACAAAGACAGTTATTGTAAAGCAGGTATACTAATACGTGGCACCAAATACATCAAATACAAACGTGTCTAGGAGAGGACCTGCTCTAACAAAAAGGCTGCAGCTGTCTACAACACCTATTGAGCTTCTTAGATCGAGCAAGCAGTGAATATCTTAAGACAAGGAAGATTACTTCTCAGAGAAGTCACTGTTGTACCTCTGGGCAAGCAGTGAGGAAAACAGTGTGCCAGCAAATCTACATTTATGGATCAAATCTCAAAGGTAACTTCTCACTGCAAGTTCTCACTAAGCAGCCCGCTTTCTTGCAGAGACTCACTGCTGCAGGGAGGCTGGGTAGTCACAGGGTTTGCAGTGTTTGCAATCAAACACTTCACTTTTTGCTAGGAGCAAAAGTGCTTACAAATCTTTTGTTAAATAAATAAGAGAAAGTATACATTCTAGGAAATTGTGTTCTGCTGAGAAACGTTGCGTGAGTGAAAAAGATGTTACATTCGGTGAGAAAATCATACACTGCAAATAATTCATTCAGCTGTAATAAGTAGCCTCAAAAACGGAGGTCAGTAAAATCCCAGTGAAGGGTATTTTTATCATCTGTTTCATATTCATTTCCAGCATAACTGTTATTACTTTATGTGATACCATAACAACCACAGACAGCTGAAATCAAACAGAAAATGACAATGAACAGGTTCCTCATAGCATTCAGTGCCATAAATTAACAATAAGGGATATGCTTTATTTTACTGTGCATTTCTTGATATCCATGAAGCCCATCTAAGGTCAACACAAATTGTGAAGGAGGGAGGGGAGAGGGAGACAGAAAGCAGGTGGGGAGAGGGGAGAGAAAGGGAAAACGTGACATTTTAAAACCAAAGGAAATTACAATATCTCAGTTTTCTCTCATTCAAATTGGAATTTATTAAACATTTTGGGCTTAAAAAAACCCGAAGACTGCTTTTAAATGTCTGCTTTTTAACGTCTTTATGTTCTTAAAACAGGAAACACTGTGATATATGATGATAGTGTATTTCAACTGCTAATTGCTATATGGTATGCTGCAATATACATTTTGAAGTTGAATGACATTTTAAAACACTGGAACATCTGATCCAATAAGAAACATTAAAAGGCACATCTCCACCAGATTTTTTTCCTGAAATTAAGTGCTTCTTGCAGAACGTTTCAATGCAGATTGAAATGTATGTTTTTTTCTCAGGAAATGTGTAGCCTGTTCTGCTTGTTAAGTTTTGATGGCTTTATACCAACGTTGCTCTACATGGTGCGAGCTATCTCACTGGCTTCTCCTTTAGAAAAAATAGGAGCAATTTCCTAATGATGCTAACATGGGGCAGCTTTCTAACCTTTCTTTTTAAAATTTATTTTTAAAAAAACCCAAACAACTATTCCCCTACCTTGGTGAAAGTCAGGCAATCCTTGTCTTGATCTTTATCCTTAATTTCAAAGTCGTAAAGTGCTTTGCCCTGAGGTGGAGCTTGCGGGAGGGGCTTAATACACTGGATGTAGCTGGCAGGGAAGAAGCCGTGGTTCCCATTGAGCTCCCCATGGTACCAGTTCTCGTCCACCTTCCGCCGCAGTATGATGATGTCCCCCTTGTTAAACTTGAGGTCACCGGGCTCCTTTCCTTCGTATGTGTAGAGGGCTTTGCCATAGGGAAGCTGAGAAACACTCTGGGGAAACAAAATATGCAACATCTTTAAGCAAACTTGAGCCAGCGCCAATTTCCTTCTTAAAAGTCATTTCTCGCTAAAAGCAAACTGATGGTCCATGACCAAATTATACCAATGACTGTGGCTGACAGCTACATAATGCTATATCCTGGATGCGCATGATGGTAAGACCGAGAAGGTAAGTGTGTTATATAGGAGGCAATGCAGTTCTCTTAAAGTTCCGCTGAAACCCATGGTACCTCTCCCACCATCAAACAGCATCTGTCAACTTGCAAAATGACCTATGTAAGCAGGACTATGTGTTTAAACAAGTAAAACTCGACATGTTTAAAGGTAAAATAATAGACTCTACGACCTTCGGGGTTGCTTTGTTTTCTGAGGCTCAGAAGATAAACAAAACAAAACAAGCTTGAAGATTCACATGGTTCTAAAAGTTGGCAAGTTGAAACTTTTTCATTGTGTTTGTTTGAGCAACTCCAAACATTTTTGAGTTTGAAGCTTTTAGTTTAGCTTTTGATTCTGTAACCAAATACCCTTACTTATTTCAAAATTCCCAAGTCTCAGGCTGTTCACTGAGGGCTACTGTAAACAGTTAGAATGTTCTTTGCTGCTTCTGAATTAATGTCCCTGTGGAAAAACAGAATAGGCAGAATGCCTCAAATCTTTCTTTTAGAACTAAAAACAGCTCTGAGGCTTTCACTCTCATTAAAAGAAAGAAAGAAACTTTAAAAAAAGATCACAGCACAAGAGCAAAAAGCCTACAAAGTTAATAGTTTGGTGTGATAGAAATGAGAAACCTGTTCCATGGAAACTACCCGATTGTGAAGAATTCTTCTCAGAGTTTATTTTGGCCCCGTGCAAGATTGCAGTCCACACGACTGCACCTACAATTTTTTGGAGCCAGTATTGGTTTACACAGCCCTTGCACTTGCCCTCACCAGATACTTGCTCCTCTTCTTGCTGAATCCCACAGAGCAGGGGTTAACTGTGTTGGGCACAGTTGACTGCTCCTTTGGTCCTATAGAGATTCTCTAACACATACTGGGGGAGAAAAGGTGTATTACTGTTTTATCCTATACCGTGGGGGTTTTTTATTTAGCTTGAGCTAAGAGTCAGGTAGCAAGCCTCAGCACAAATGTGTAGCAGCACATACGATGAGGGTTGTTAAACAGGTCCTGTAAAGTCAACCTTTCATAAGAGTCCTTTTTTCAGAGATGTATTTACAGAAGTGACAGTCTTCTGTTCATATATATGTCTACGAGCAGTCTGTTCCCTGCTCTGTACACTGGTTTGTCAACGGCATGTCCCATGGGGTCAATGGAAAAATAAAGGTTTTACAGAGATTTTCTAAAGGTACAAAATATCCTGGTATTCCCCCAGGTTTTTCTTAGGTCTGCACTTCTGGGTGACATTCCTGTGCATAAGAACCAGCACTCTGGTGCTCTTCTACAGGAAGAAGGTGTGAGTGGCCTGACAGAAACACTCCATTTCCCAACCCCATCCAGGCATTTCTCCTGATCCTGATGGGTACATTAAATGGGCCTGCTCTGGTAGGGCAGGCTTTATGCACTTATACCTGCATTTTTTGGCAAGAGGAGGAGAAGCACCAGCCCGTCATCTCCTCTGCCTGCCAGTGCAGCCTCTTCTGGCCACCTCTGGGTACCAGATGGGCACTGCTGCAGGCAGATACCACACAGTTCAAAAAGTAAGTTTCTTGAATGCATTTTCACACACAAGAGTTAACGTACTCGCTTTATTAGAGAGGGCTTTAGTAGCTGCACAGGTCTTAGAAAGCCTATGCAGCAGATCCTTGTGGATGTACCATACAGTGCAGGAGGCAGTCAAACAGGCACAGCTCTTCAAAGCACCATCCACACTGTCTGGACAGGGATTTAATCTCACTCAGATGTGTCCTCAGCTCTTGGTTTTCTCATTACCAACTTACAGTTCCTCTTCTTTTTTTCTCTGTACTCTACTGGATTTTGCTGCATCTAAATGAAGGTAGCCAGTTAAAGACCAGCATTTTGAAAGCACCTTCAAACGTAACAAAAGAAGCCTAAAAACAGAAAAGAAAATCAACAGCCAGCTAACAAAGCATGCATCAAACAATCTCTGTCAAATCAGTATCAGCATCCTACTGATATTTTTCTTTGCCAGGATGGTTATTTCTCCTTACATCAAAGCTTTGCCCCTGTCCCCAGCATTTTAAAGATTAAAGCATATGATACCATCAAACTCCTTAGGTAAGGCATTGATTGCATCACTTATCTGAAACTAGAGAAAGCTGAAATACTACGGAGCCTTCTAGTAATTTAGAAATAAAAGATTCATTACTTTAATTCATGCTGGGAGAAGACAACTTATCAAACACTGAGTAAGACTTCTGCCAGGTGCACACTGAACCACTGCTGATCCAGGCACATGCCTGGCAAGCACGCTTTGGCTCACTTACCCTAGACAAAGCCTTACAATTCCCAAGATCTTTGAAGCAATTCAAGGTCAGCTCACTTTCTTTACTTTTTAAACACTTTCTCTTCCCAAGCTTCATTTTACTGTGTAAAAAGTCAAGAGCCCCCAGAGCTACAGAAGACGAAACTGGGTTTTATTCAGTCTCCCAGAACATAGATGAAATTCTTAAGCAACACATGCTGGGCTTTTATTGCTAATTAATTAAGCTGGCTAGAAGATGGTTCAGGTGCCTGTTTATACCCTCACCTGATGAAAATGCAGGCTTTTAAAGCAAAACAAACAAACTGCAAGACAAAACTTTTCATTTCAAATCTGCCATTGTTTTATTTGGATAATTTAATGTGGCACCCCAAGGAATTTGCAGTTTAGGTGCTTGTGTTCATTCTCTTTCATGGGCTTAGTTATGGTCCATGTCATCCGGGGACTGTCCTACGCAGAGAAGATATGCACATAAGGTACTTAAACTACAACTGCCAGAGGGAAGGTCCTTCCAAAATAATATGTTTCAATTATCAGCTACAGCTTTTCTACTTCTGTGCCACTGCTTTTCAACCAAAAAATTAGTAGAGGCATTTTTTAAAACCAACATGTTGTTTAGAGGTACAGACACTCTCCTATTGAAAAAATGTTGCGATTCAGACACTTCCCAGCCTTACTGTAAGGCCCAAAGTCCCCATTTTGATATAAGCATCCCAGGTGAAGCTTGCATTTACTGCGGCCCAGGCAGGTAAAGAAATAATAGAGTCCTATAACCGTTTTCAAATAAAGCTACTTTTCCCATTCTAAAGCCCTAAGTGTCTGATCCAAGTGTCCAAAGAGAGAAATTCAGTATCACAACTAACAGAAAAACTAAGAATAAACTCTTGAAGCTTCCTTGATGGTATTTTCTGGCCAAAAGGTCCAGTGTTCAATGGTCAGATTATATTAATGAATCCCAGTCCTTAAGAAGCAGATTTGGGGAAGTTTCACATAATTGTTCCTATTTTTGGTTAATCCATAAGTGAGAAGCAAAGCACATTCAGGAAGCTCCTCTTAACTACACCTGAAATGAGGGAGAATTAAGCATGTTTCAGAAATAGAAGAAAAACGATCACTGCTGTCTTTGCTAGTTGCAACGTCACTCCCCATCAGCAGTCAGACGATTCTTAGAAATTTTCCTATTATCATTTTCCTCTTTGCCGAATCTTTGTGCAGTACAATTCTGGTCTAATCACACCCTTTTTCTTCACTTGACTCCCCAATTCAACAGGAAGGAGATAAGCCAGGACTGATTTCTGACTCACATGCAAACCCACCAAGTCCTGCCGGAGAGCACGCCCTTCCCATTTTCTGTTCAAAATCTCTGCCTCATGCCCTGTCCTATCAGCTCTTTCTTCTACACAACAGCGTTCCAGTCAGACATCATTATCTTCAGCATGTCCAGGTGGTCCTTCTCACAAAAACTTCTAATCTATAACAGGCTGCAAAGTGTCATCTAAGGGATCGGACCACAGAAAAGCAGAGGCAGGCAACGGTTTTTGGGGAGGGCAGTGATAAGCACATCGACATGTTACTCTAGCGACCACAGGAGCACTTACACCTTCCCCTTGCTTCCTTCTTCAGCTGAGCAGACCCTCCTTACCCCTTCTCTGCTGCTCCTGTGCCTGGGCACCACTACAGCAACAGCTGGTGGACGCCCCCAAGCCATCTGCTTCATCCCCTGCTTCTCAGCCACAGCCCCTTCTCAGATGTGGGGCCCCATCCTGAAGTCTTCTGCAACACTGTGTCCCGGGAGCAAAGCTCCCTTTCCCAGCCTGGCCTCAGCAGCATCATGCTGCTCCCCTGCCCACAGCACCCAGCTCCATCACGGCCACCCCTGCATCCAGGAACTGACAGGAGAGCAGCCTGGCTCTCCCACAAGCAGCACAGTGGGGACCACCTCCCCACTACTCCCTCCAAGTCAACCCTTGACCTGTGCTCCTGCCCTGAGGGATGCCCACCATCACCCCCCTCCCCAGCTGCCACGAAATCTTGTCAGGCGTAAGGCCGACGGCTGCAAAATTATACGGCCTCCGCATCTGGCTGTACCAAGAAATTGATTTGCCCTGTTGATTTACTGCAAGGTTAACTGGAATTCAGCTATGATGTGTATTAAATTTCAAACCTCAATGTGGGTGTGTATAGAAATAAGGAATGTAAGAAAGAAAGGAAGGAAGGAAGGAAGGGATGAAGTCAATGGCAACAGCCAGTTTCTTTTTCCTGCCAGTAAATGTGTGTTGGCACAATGCTGAGTACTGCCAAAGGTTTCTTTCTATTTCAGCAATCAATACTGACGTAAAAGCCTGAAGCGTTAATATGCTGAAAACCCCCCTTGCAGAAGACTCAACAGTATGTTGGCAACTCAATCATTCTGTATTTGTGTTTCAGCAATGTCAAATGGCAGCAGTTAAGCAGAAATCTGCTGGCAAATTGACAAACAACAGCCACGAAGCAATTAAGTGGCAATGCTGGAGAATTTTTCGTTACGTATGCTGGAGAACAAAAGGAGGGAA